CTGAAGAGGGAGAGCTGAGAGGCAAGAATGGTAAAATGGCTGGTTGCCTAACAACTGAAGAGGGAGCCGAGCGGTGGTGGCACACGCTTTTAATTCCAGCACTCGGAAGGCAGAGCCAGGAGGATCTCTGTGAGTTCGAGGCCAGCCTGGTCTACAAAGCAAGTTCCAGGAAAGGCGCAAAGCTACACAGAGAAACCCTGTCTCAAAAAACAAAACAACAACAACAAAAACAAAACAACTGAAGAGGGATAGAAGAGTGTAAAGAACCAATCAGAATGGCTGAGTGAGATGGCTCAGTAGGTAAAAGGTGCTTGCTACAAAGGCTGAAGGCCTGAGTTCAATCCCTGTGACCCACGTGGTAGAAGAGAAAACTGACTCCTATAAGTTCTTCTCTGACTTCTCAAAGCACACTGTGGCACATGTGTTCACATACACATAAACACACTCTCCCCGCCCCCCTTTTCAGCTCTCCTAATGTAATAAAAATTATTTTTAAAAAGAACCAAAGGGTAGCTGCAGGCCCTGGTTGCTGGAAGACTTCTTGAGTTCTAGGGAGCCAGTTGTCTCCCAGGAGCTGCAAAATTGGCAATCACCAAAGCGTGAGGAACCGGACACCTGCCTACTTAGAATCTTCAGTGCTGTTTACTGTTCAAGACTAAGGAATTTTGATTTCCCAGGCTTATAAAAGAGTTGTAATCCTTATAGCATCAAGGATCCTGGTACTGTAGACTTACACCAGATCTGTGAAACTTGTAGAAGTAAAGATTCCTCTACCTAGTGTTAAATTTCCGAGGCAGCTTAGAGAGACAGACAGGAAAGCAGAAAAGAGACCAGTGTGACCTCAGCAGATGGAACTGTTTATTTCAGTGAGGGGCAGGCACAGCAGGGAAGTGGTGTCTTCAAGAAGAAGGAGGAGGAGAAGAAAAAGAAGAAGAATAAAAAGAAGAAAGGAATATTTGGGGTTAATATAGAACTTCTGGGGCTACATGAAAACCTATATTTCCTCCCTCATGGAACTGTTTATCCAGACAAACCTGGTTTATCTTTAGAAGCTCCCTTGCCTAGGCTATCAGGATACAGGGTCATAGTGAGCAACTGAGTTTGGTAATGCTAGGGAGGGGGATGGGACTGGAGGGTTTTCATTTTTTTTTTTTTTTTTTTTTTTTTTTTTTTTTTTTTTTTTTTTAGATAGGATTTCTCTGCATAGCTCTGGCAGTCCTGCAACTTGATCTGTAGAAAAACTGGCCTTGAACTCAGAGGTCTGCCTGCCTCTGCCTCCTGAGTCCTGGGATCAAAGGCATGTGTCACCATGCCTGGCAACAGACTGGAGTCTAAACATAGGGGCAGGGAATTTCAGCAAGCTTAATGGAGAACAATTCCTAGAGTCTTGCAGTGTTTGTTCAAGGTTTATTCCAACACCTAAGGGCTGCCCAAGGATCATAACACTGGCAGAGCTAGAAGTCTTGATACCAGAGACCTGAACAAGAATTGTACCAGGGGTTGGGGATTTAGCTCAGTGGTAGAGCGCTTGGCCCTAGCAAGTGCAAGGCCCTGGGTTCGGTCCTCAGCTCTGAAAAAAAAAAAAAAGTTGTACCAGAGAGGGCTATCTGTAGCAAGTCTTTCTCTGTACTGCCAGCCAGCTCCCAAATAATGACATGGAGCCTTCTTATTTATTATGAAAGCTTGGCCTTAGCTTAACCTTGTCCCACTACCTCTTATAACTTAAATCAACCCATTTATATTAATCCCTGCCTTGCCCCATAGCTTTTTACCTTTCTTTCATTCTGTATATCTGACTCCCTCCATGTCTCCTTGGTGCCTAGATTCATCTCCTATTCCGTTCTTTCTGCCTGAAAGTCCCGCCTATACCTCCTGCCTAGCTATTGGACATTCAGCTCTTTATTAAACCAATAACAGTAATATATCTACACACAGTGTACAAATAGCCCACAGCAGCTCCCACCTGCTACTGAGCCATCTGCTGCTGCCTTCTGCTGTCAAGGGTTACAGAAGCTGCCAAAGGTTAGCACTGGAACAACTGCTTCTTGCCCACCTGTGGTTTCCAAGTAGGGCAAAAAGGACTCTGGCCTGCTGCTTGGAAACATTTGAGCTTGTTTGCTAGGCCTTGAAGCAAGTGTTAGGGAAGCACGTGAAATAAGAGCTCCTTTCTGTTGCTGGTGGAAGTGTGAAATTGCAAAGGTACCCTAAGAACTCTTACACAATTTCTTACAGTGCTAATTTCGTACTTACCTTATCAACAGATAATTCCGTTCCTAGGTATTTACTTAAAAGAAGGGAAAAACAGATATCTAGAAAACACTTTGATGATAGTGTCCATAAATGCTTTATACATAATATCTAAGAAATAGTGACAGTCTAAATCTCTATGCATTTCAATAGATAATATGATACATCCATAAATAGAACCCTAACTACCGAGGAAGTAATAAAAAAAAAAAAACCCTAGTACTGGATGGAATGTGGCAACTCATGCCTGTAATTCCTAGCACTTGGGAGGCTGAAGCAGGAGGATTGCCACAGCTTTTAGACTAACTTGGACTACATAATTAGGTCTAGGCCAGTCAGAACTACATTTTACTCCATGTCTCATAAAACCAAACTAAGCCCAAACAAAAGGGACAATATAAAGTAATCATAAAACATCAGAGCCCATGTGAACAATAGTGTTCCAAATGTTTTTCAAATCTTCTTCCTAGAATTTGATGTCAGGACAGCACTGTCTTTTAATGGTTTCGATTTATTCAACCACATGAAGAAACTTCCTAGGGGTAACTAAGCTGTTTTACGTGTTTACTGTGGTACTGTTCACACAGACACATGCTTGTGAAATCTACTACATGGAAATGTAACATCCATGTAATTACTTCAGTTTGAAAAAATTGTAGCAAGAAGTTAAAATGATGTCTGAACCTAGCAACTCTCGGTAACTCTTGCAGGGACCTTGTGAAAGGACCAAGCAGATGCCATAACAGGCTCCTCAGTCTTCTCTGAGATCAGGTTTCATTTTTAGTTTCCTGAGACTTGAGCAAGCAGTTTCTGGGAGGGCCATGAACAAAAGACATAGTCCTTGCAGTAGCTCCCTTTCTGCACGTACTCTGACTGCTCAACATTCAGCCAGATATTTACTGTCTGGGACCCCTCACCAACTTAGAGTTGTGTGCATGAGTCAAGGACAGAGCCTGGACCACTGAGCCAGCCCCCACAGTCAGTACATGCTAGGCCAGCCAGCCCCCATGGCAGCTCAAGGACAAAGCCTGGGACTTGTCCTGGACAGCCCCCAAAATGATAATTGTGACCCCCAACCAGTAAATTCAAAGGTTACATACCCTCACCCAATTAAAAGAGAACAGAAACCTTCAAAATAAAAATAAACCAATCCGAGTTGCACCCGTGCCAAACCCCCCCAACCACCCTGAAGGGCTTGCAGTTTTTGCCTTTAAATAGCTAGCCTCACAAAGAAAGAACAACTCCTCCCTGCCTCACTGTATTGGGTGTAGGAATGAGTTCCCTGTCTAGACTTGTATCTATAGAATAAACCTTGCTGTTGCATTCTGGACATCCACGGTCTTCAGTGGTCTCTTTGGGGTCATGATCTGGGTATAACACTTGTTATACAGAATTTTATTTAAAAGTTATCTTACTATTTCTTCATTTATGTGACGCTTAAACTCCAGAGCATTGAAACAAACCCAGGGGAAAAAACAAAGGTAAAAAATACAATCAAAATTATAGCTCCTGTTCCTATATCCTCCTTAGTTTCCCAACCCCACAGGCATCTTCTGGTGTCAGCTTTTGTTTGTTTGTTTGTTTGTTTGTTTTCCTGTGAGTTCTTTCTGAGACTCAGAGGTGGGGGGCGTGTTCTTAAAATCTGACAGCACTGTCCTGTAAGGGTTTAAGTGCCACTTGGATGTCTGTATCCCTGATAACTAACCTTGGATGTCCACTTGACTGGGTCTGGAATTGGCTAAGAGATAAGCCTCCAATTTATAACTGTGAGGGGTTATCTAGATAAAGGCTAGCCCCTGAGAATGTGTGTGAGGGGTTATCCAGATAAAGGTGAGCCCCTGAGAAAGTACATGAGGGATTATCTAGATAAAGGTGAGCCCATGATGTGTATGAGGAGATTTTTTTTATTGGATTATTTAGAAGTGTGGTAGATCCACCTTAAATGGCATCTAATAGCAGCTGCCATAGTCACTGCTCTATTACTGTGAAGAGACACCACGACCAAGGCAACTTATGTAAGAAAACATTCAACTGTTCGGGCTTACAGTTTCAGGGGTTTAGTCCATTATTATCATGGTGGGGAGCATGGCAGTGTGCAGAAGACAGGTGCTGGAGCAGTCGCTGAGAGCTACATCCTGATCCGTAGGCAGAGAGAGAAACTGGGCCTGGAACAGGCTTTTGAAACCTCAAAACATCCCCAGTGAAACACACAAAACCCAAGAATTCAAATATATAAGCCTGGGTGTGTGTGTGTGGGGGGCAGCATTCTTATTCACACCTCCACAGCAGCCATATGTAAGGAGTTCCTACGGAAAGGCTTTGCTTCTTGCCTGCTTGCCTTTGTACCTCAGTTTCCCCTCTTGTTGCTGCTGCTGCTGCATTTCTTCCCTGATAGAAAAAAAAATCCATTTTATTCTGGCTACTGATGTGAAGATCAGGAATCCTTCCTTCACACCTTCAGCACCAGGTTGGAATTGTAGAACTATCCAGCCTCCTGGGTGAGCAGGTCCCAGTTTCTCCAGTGTGAAGGCAGCTGTTGTTGCACTATCTAAATGACATGTAAGCCAACGCTTTTAATGCATACTCATTCTATGGGTTCTGCTCCTCTAGAGAACTTTGAGTAATACAGTATCCGAGAAAGCTTGCTGTTAAACATCCAACATCTGTTGAAGTCTGTTATTAGATATGTTCGTATTAGAATTGGAGATTCTATTTGTCCGTATCTCTGTCCAAACCAGAGCTGCTCTGAGTTTTCAAAGCATAATTTCTGGAAGGTTTTCACACTTTGCTGGACCTCCTTGGACAGTCAGGTTAGAAATGTTCATTTTGGCCAGGACTCTTGCTATTCCTAACTGCTGTAGCCATCGCTTCTCTTTAAAGGCTTTTTGTAAAAAACAAAACACCCAAACAAACAAGAAATGCAAAGACATAATTCACAAGGAGGCCAAATCTCTTCCCTGTACGTTGCCAAATATCAAGGGTGGTTTAGTTACTGTTTAGTTTACTTGTCACAAAGGTCTGAGGGGAAATAGAAACAACAGTCTTTCTAAAGCCAATGTCTTACAATGAGGCAGGAAAGATATTCTCCCTAGTTAGTGGTAGAAGTTTACAGCCCACATCTAGAAACTGAAAGCCACACAAGGTTGTGTAGAATTTTCTGGGTTCTAACATTTTCTATCTGTCCTTCCTAGGCAATTCAATGGAGCACATCTTCCCTTAGTACTCTTCCTTCCTGACCCCTGTAGGATTCTTAAATTTAAAAACAAGTTTGTTTTTGATAGCCTTTAACTGAAATGCTAGGGAACTACTTTGCTACAGTTGCTCCATCTATACTAAGGAAGACTTGTAGATTTCAATACAGCTGCTGCCACTTTGTACAATGAAAATGTGATTTATTAAAGCAGGAGCTTACAGACTGGAGAGATGGCTCAGCAGTTCAAAGCACTGGCTACTCTTGCAGAGGACCCTGACTCAATTCCCAGCCCCACATGGCAGCTCATAGCTACCTGTAACTCTAGTTCCAGAGGATCAGATGAGCCAGGCAGTGGTGGCACATGCC